ACTCAAATAACTGCAGATATTCATACAAACTACTGTTATGTGCCACCCCAATTTCTGCTGCGTGGGGTGAGATTCCAGGGATCTTGGCACTTTACCAAGTGTATTGTGTGAAAAAATGGAGCGCAGCAGAGACTGTAGTGTCATTACGATATATGGTTTTATTTACACATACCGGTACATACACCTTAGCCTTAATGGAGGGAGTGGAAGACATCACACCTCAATAGTGTCTCTTGTTGTTTCTCCCATAGCTTCAGCAAGCTATGCTATACATGGATCAGAACTCAGTTATCAACTAGTCAGGCATGTCCAACTCTCAAGAGACTACGATCTACTCCCAGCATAAAAAATGGCGGTGATCTACCCATTGTGATTAGAAGGAGGAGGAGTGTGTTGGGGGGGGTGCATTGCCCAGAGCTTTTTTTAGGAGGGAAGTTCCCAGAGTTGTTGAGGTGTTTTTTTTTGGGGGGGGGGGAGGATTGCACAGAGTTTTTAAGCTTATTTCCTGTAACTTTTTGTACATGATAAGGGTCTCGCGATCTACCAGGATCAGCCAGGAATCTATCGGTAGATCACGATCTACTGGTTGGACATCCCTGAACTAGATTATATATTTCCTTGAATGTTGCAACCCACTGTCATTTCTAAATCCAATAATTTAGGGGGCCCTACCTTCCCCCATGACAAACTCATTACAATACTATTTCCAGCTCTGCTTGACCTCTAGTTTTCCATCTTCGACACTCACACATCAAACTGAAGGATATCAATGATGCTTTGAATGACAGCATTTATTAATAATTTCTCATTTGTGCTATGCTTCTTGCCATAATTTTAAAACTACAGGGACCACAATTAGCATATAAGGGCCTGCTCCCAAACAAAATTCACTTGACCTGCATCCCTTCTCTTTGAACAATAGCTAGCATTCCATAACACTGTGCTCTGGTAACAATCTGTGTGAAAGAATTACTACCTCTGTTCTGTGATGAAAATCAATTCTGCATATAGTGGGATAATGTTATTTATTGTATTATCCAGTGGACTAAACTTAACAAAAACTCAAAATAAGTGAAACCAATTGAGATTAAGAGCACTCTTATTTAGCTTTTTATAATATTCCACTGGTACTCTCTTTAATGTACTATTAGCTTCAGTTTTGGATTCACTCTCTTTATTTTCTTGGAAATAATGAATGCTTATTGCATAGCTACTTTGTGGCATTACATTTTCTCTCTCTACTGGGGAAGAAACAGTCACCCGGTTTAGAATTGTTCTTTGAATCAAACTTTCTGAAGTAAAGAAATCTTGTTTTTCAAAAATTTTAATTCCCTCCCTCCCAAGACTGAATGGACCAGAGTGACATGGATAAAAAGCTCCCACGTGGCTGAGATCTATGTTTAAAAGAAAGGCATGGGATGGCCAGTATCAGCCCAATAAACTATAGTACCATGATGAACGTTACCCCATTTGTATTCCTTTCTTATCAGTCTCAGGAGCAGCAGCCCCATCATGATCCAGGTGATGGAATCAATTCAAAAGACATTCCCTGTACCCAGAAATTTAGCATGCTAGGAAGAAAGTTAGGCTACAGTTCTCCTCCGTAGCATCTAGTTTTCTAAGTGAAGGGAAATTGATGAATGGAAGAACTTTCTATCACATGATCCATGTCTCTACAGACATGGGTTTGCTACCTGTGTGAGAATAGGTCCAAAGGTTTAAAGGTACATGTTCCATGCTTGCTTCTTATCACTCCACTGCGGTTGCCAGTTTTTAGTAGCCACAGAAGCCTTTTCTCCTCAAGCTATTGGGTGAAAATCTTTATCTCCATGCAATGTAAAGTTTCACCTATGGATTTTTGCAGATAAAGCTGCTGTTAAAGGACAATCCAGAACATTCCTTCTGGTCACTGGGTAGCCTTATCTCCTGCATCTAGATATATTCCCCACTCCCCAAAAAGTGTGCCTTTTAATCAATCAATTAATTATGGCTATTTTTGAAGGGACCCACATTTGGAGAACATCGAAAGGGCTGTTCATAAGAATGCCCTCAGGAGTTCAAATGAATGCATGAAGGGAAATAGCCTCTCATTCATACCAGCTCTCAGCATGTAGTCACCAGGGAATGACAAGTGGGCATGTATGCAATGACCTTGGAATCTAGTACTGAGCAGGACAGCAAGGTGGAGGGTACAACATTGCCTCAGACCATGTTTCTGACTCTGAGCATGATGCTGATTATCAGGGGACCACTGACCCCACAACTGCCTGGCAGAAACCAAAGAACCAGATCCCACAGCCCCACGCCCTGCAGAATTGGAGGCAGCACCCTTACTGGCACCATCCATCATCTGGACCCATGGAACTAAATGCCTCCTACACCACCTCACCAGTCCAAAGGCACAGAGAGTGCACCAGCCAGGAGACCATGGTAAACTGGAGAAGTGTCCTCAGGCCAAAGGGCTGATTCTTTAAGACATTCTAGTCCTCTAAAATAAAGCAGACTGAAAACACCTCATTTAATGTCCAAGCTTTGCTTATTAGGAGCTGTCCTTGGTGCTGCAGCAATCAATTTGTCCTATCCATGGGGTCCTCTGTAGGACCAAAATAGGATAGTGTTGATTACAAGGGTGAGACTACCAGGTACCATACTGTTTCCATCTCACAACTTCAAATGGGTTGTTATGTTTGCTTTGTTGTTATATATACAGAATTGCTTCTTAATCGTTTGTATACTTTTTTATTGTTTTATGGCTGTAACTGTTTTATTTGTTTCTTAATTGTATAATTTAACTGTTGTAACCCACCCTGGGATATTAAGGCAAAGGGCGGGTAAGTAATCTAACAAATAAATAAATTCCTTAAGGGGGTTGTCTGACCAGCCCTGTAGTGTAGTGAAATTGGATAGCACCAAAATATAAGGCTCTAAACTCACCAAGATGCTTTACAACTCACACAGTGAAGAACCCAGCATGAGAATTAAATTAGAGCCTCGACCTGAAGGGAAAACTCAATCATTTTCAATTTGCAGCTGTTAGTATTATCTTCTCTATAAATCCCCAAGCCTTCAAATAATAACCAAATAACAGACTCATTCAGTATACACAATTTGCATGCAGAACTCTAGTTGATCAGTCTCTCCCCAGAAATATTCCCTTGCTCTTTGTTGCAGTCAGTTCTACTCACACTCCAGTAAAATCAATATGTCCTTTGGATTCACCTTATTTCATTATGTTCTAGGGCTGCTCAAAACTGTAAAACAATTTGTGTGTGTGTGTAAGGAACTGACGTGTGTGTATCATCACCAGAACCTTTATTGTCTTGTTTGAACATTGTTTTCAGTCTTTTGAGACTAAAGTTTGGGCTAGAGCTGGGTTATATATTCAGAGAAAGGATTTGGTAGGAAAGACACACTTCTGTCCTTTAAATCAGTATGAGGGGTGAGAGTGGCAGGAGCTGTGTCACCATCCTCAGATGTTAGCAGGGGAGAGGGAACAGACCAGAAGTTAGGTGACAGAGGAAGAACACTGAAAACATGGATGTGCTTGAACCACAGGACACACACCAAGACAATGAGGCAGAAGCAAGATATGCAGAGGAAGGAAGCAAGCAAAAGCAGAATGAATAATATGGCATGATTCAGGGTGAAAGATAAGAGAAAGTGGCTGAGTCAGAAAAGTGTGAAAGCAAGAGGAGAGGAGAGAGAAAGTATGTATGAGAGAGAAAGTGTGGCTGGAATGTCAGAAGGACTGTGGGTGTGATAGTGAAGGGGAGACTGATGTGGCAATAACTGTGGAGCATGCAGAGAGGCAAATAACAGCGGAGGAAGCAACTATAGGAAGCATCAGGAATAACAAGGGTGAGTTATAGCAGGAGGGAAACTCCAAGGGTCCAAATAATAGGATGACACAAGGGATGACTCCTGAGGATACAGCAGGACACAGTTGCAGTTGATTGCCAGACCATCCCATGCAGCAATGACCAGGGCTACATGTTGGACAAGTCAGTGTGCAGTGAATGGTTCAGGGTTTCAGGCAGGAGGTGATCCCCAGCTCTACCTGGAGATGTGAGGGATTGAACCTGGAACCATCTGCATGCTAAGCAGATGCTCCGTGATGAAGCTATGGTCCTTCTACTTCAAAGTTCAAAGAAAAGGGAAGTCAATAGGAACTGCACAAATGATCCCCCTACATTTAATTCACTCAGTCTACATGGACAGAAACTTCTTAGTGACCTACTTGAAAAATACTAAAGCCTTTCCCCCCGCCCCTGAGAAATGCTCAATTTGAAACAGGAACTTAACTAGTGTGACAGTATTGATCTTCCATAGTCTAGCATCTAGTAAAAGGGGCAGTTTTGCTCTGTTTCTTAAGGAACTATCTCCCTCTTACTGCTCTTACATTACTCACACAATGGACCCATCAGTGAAAGAATCGCATTTTTAAAAAAGCAAAATATATTGTGGCTTAGGCAAAAATGCCACAGCTATAAGTATTTCTTTGAGTAGGCTTCCTATACAACAATTGAGCAAAGTGCACATTTGTTGCCTGATAAACATGTTGCCCGTAAAGATCGTATGTTGAATTAACTGAGAACTGATAATCTAAATATGCTCAGAAAAAAGAATTAGAAACAAAATATCATACTTTCCCCCTGGTTCATACTAACAGCACAAAAGAGAGAGGTGAAAAATCAAGAAAATTTTCATAAGCCAAACTATTTCCAGGCAGAATGGATCACAGGCTGCAAAATGCCTTCAAAATGAGCTTTAAGTAATGAGCCAATAAAATACAGATTGAAATTCATATGCTCCCTGAGGATGTATAAATGGCAGTTTTGCTCAAGAATGCCCAAATGTCTTGTGTTGGTTACAAACAAGAAGTACACAGGATAATAGTATGCTGAAAAAATAAGTGTCAAATCAACAATATTCCTTTTTCTTGCAGTTAACACAGACCAAACTAGTTTTAAAAGCCTGTTCCCACACCTCTTCCATCTTTTATGAAAAAGAAGACAACAACAACAACAACAGCAACTGCATTAAGTTTATGCAGGCTGGCTGTATGCACACAGAAATTGCCAGTTCACAAAGCAGGGAAGAGCAGTAGTTGAATGGACAAAGTCACACAGTGGAGTAAATGGTTTGCTGTGAACCTGGAGAAAACTCTTTCATTCCTCTCCTAGCATGAGTGGGAGCAACACACCACAATCCCTGGCTTACCATTAAGTCCCAATGTCAGGTTTGTTTCATTCAGACAAACTGTGATTGGTAAGCCACGGGAAAACAGTGGCTTTACATGGTTTGGAGTGAAATAAAACATCAGCCCCGGGCTGGACATAGAGATAGGCTGGGGATTGGAATTATTGTTCCAACTCACACTAGGGGACGAACCAAGTAAGAACAATCTGCACATTCAGAAACCATTAACTATGGTTTTCCATAATGTGCAAATGCAACCCATGCCTGAATATGCAAACATACCAAAAGGGGGTAATGGTGTGATCTGTTCTGTACTATGCATAGATATGCATAATGAGAGATACATCTGAATTTGCTCTGTGTGTGTGTGTGTGTGTGTGTGTGTGTGTGTGTGTTTAAAGGAAAGGAATTGCTTCCATTTTATGTGAGGATATATTCAAGACTTCTATTCACAACTCATTTAGCATCAAATATTTCAGAGTTGCAATTTCATTTACCCTCCAGTTATAAAGAAATTAAATTGCGCATCTAGCTGGCTGGCTGGCTGGCTATCTTTTAGCACGCTTTTAAAAAAAAAAGTTACATTCTGTTTAAAGTGAGCCGAAGTATTGGCCAGACAGGATTTTAATAATAAGGTCAGCAGACAGGTTAATACAGTAAAACCAACCTTAATGATACTCTCATCTTTCTGATTTAAAATACACATGTCATAGAGCAGCAGGGGTCAAGAGCCAGCCTGAGGCATCTAGACCACACAAATGCACAGTACCAATAAATGAGGATATGTGCAGTCACTGGGAAGAAAATAATAGCACCTGACTGGTTGGCGAGTAACAATATAGTAGTAGTTGTACAATAAAAACATATAGGAGCGAGTTACTGCTTGTCTGAAGAGCCTTTCCTGAATTATATCTTTTCATCTTTAGTTATGTGAGCAAAATTCAACGTTTTGTAGACATTTCTACTGTGGGTGTGGAGTGGGAATTCCACTCCTCTATCCCCATGTTTTCAGGTCAAAGGTGATATTTTTTCTGATTCAAGCACTGTTTCTTCACAGTGAGTGGCTGTTGCCACCCTCCCATCGCAATCCGAAATGATACTTATTATTTAAAATATTAAAAGATTATTATTTATTGCATAGTTTAACTGTAGCATAATGATCCTTCCAACCCTACAATTCTATGATTTTTACAATGGAGGCTGGGTGCTTAATTATGTAAACATTGATTACAACAAACTGAGTGGCATCTCATACACTGGAAACCCAGTGTATTTATAATTAATGTCTGTTCCAGGTTTGCTTCCCTGACATCATATATTCTCTGAAACAATAAAAAATATTATGAATTATTGTTCTAATAAATACGATCTCCTGAAGACTACTAAAAACCTGTTGACATTTCCTATCTTTGTAACCAACACTAATTATTGGAACGATAAAGTACTTAATGGCAAGGCTTCCATAGAACATGAACATTGTAGAATGAAACAGAGTGCAAGCCAGAAGCTGGAAACAAACAAATGATGAAGCCCACCATGCTCGAAGACTGAGCTTGAAATAGTACCTAGAACATCAGGGCCGCCCATTCCCACATGAGGCAAGGTGAGCTGACTGCCTTGGGCAGCAGGATCCACAGGGGCATCACATCCAGATTCCAAGGAATGCATCACCTGCTGCTGCTGCTGCTGCTGCTGCTGCTGCTGCTGCTGCCATGGTAGCAGTGACAGTTGTGTCACACTCCTTGGAGACCAGATCTGCCATCTCTACAGCAGCATCTTGGTGAATAGGAGGCGCTGCTGGTCTCTTCCCACTTCTAGGGGGAAATGGCAGGGACTTCCTTCCAGGGTCTCCTGGACTGTGCATCTGCTTGGCATGTTTTCAGAGTAGGCCCCTCCCCTCCTGCCATGGCCTTTGATTCCCACTTCAACCATCATATAAGGTTGATTTGATTTGGCTCCTTGCTCCTGATGTAGACCTTTATTCCCCACCCCCTTGTTCCTAATGTACATCTTCACTCATCCCTTCTTCCTTGGAAGGCACCATTTTGTGGTTTGGCTCAAGTGCCGAAACATGTTGGGCCAGCCCTGAGGAACGTTGTACAGATACAGAGATGGTTGCTCCCATATGGGGTACATGAGAGCAGCCATCTTTTTTCTCTGTCGAATTCCCCCAGGATGGGACTGCACATTAGCACATACAGGGGTGCATTTTAGAACAGTTTTTTTGTTTCTGTGCAGACATTAAAGAGCTGCTTTAAGCTGCAGTCAAATGATTTTTAAATTGGGAAAAGCAGCCTTCAGACCACCTCATAAGTATAGCAGGGACCCATCCATGTTGATTGTTGGCTTAAACGATAGATCTGATCACACATGGATCTGAGGGAGGTGAAATGGGTAGGTTTGCTCCAAAACATGAAGTGAACCAGATTCCTCACCATCCCTAACTATGACTATTATATTTATTATTTATTTGAATAACTGTGTATTGTCCAAAATTGATCTAATGATGGTTCCCTGTGAGTGGTTTTAAGAAGAGATTAGGGATATCATGTTCTATTTCATTGAAATAGTTCTCCAGTCCTCAGATTATAGTTTGCAGCGGCAGGGAGGTTACAATACTGCGTGAGGATTTTCACATATTCACCTGCAGGATGGGTTTGGAGGGTCACATGGTGGAGTAAATTTGAAAAGGGAGTGGCAAGTTCAAAAGGTTAGTCTTAAGGGTGTCACTAGGAAAAATAATTCACAGGGGGTGAAACTCACACCCCCAATAAATCACAATAGAATTCAAAACTTCCATGTACATTCCCAATGTGTTCGCAGCACTTTCTTGGACCCATAAGGAGGCTGGCAATATGTATGTGTAGCAGACAGCCTGGAGTTGAAATATCTTACTAAATTAGTTCCCTGAAATCTGTATTTATCCAGAGTCTTTTCCACTCTATCAGGCACTTCAAAATCTACAAAAGTAATAGGAGGCAAGTCTTGGATCTCTTTATTATATCCCAATAAGTTTAAGAAAATCAAAACCTTTATTTTAAAAATAATGTTGCATTTAATGGAAACATCAGCTCTCTATCTTATCATTTCAACAGTGTCAGTAATGGATGCTGGTGAATGCTGAAGGATTTGAAACGCTCAAATTTCTGACACTTCTGATATTTTGAAACTTGTGTTATTTCTCTAAAGGTCAGCAAAAGGTTGCAAGATGTTGGAATCTTTAAAGTTTTTAAAAAACAAACCACTTTCTCTAATCAGCTCTGCTGGTTATATTATCTCATTTTGTCAATATACTTATCTCTGGATGCACTATTTAAGATGGAAATTCAGTGGTACACTGTAAGAAAATGAAATCTTGTAGATGGTCCTTAAAGGCAGTGGGTTGTAGGGAAGGAAGGGTATTCACCAGTGTGCTGGAGATGTCTTGACTGCATCTTAAGCTTCTTTTGTTATCTCTGTGGTGAGTACAGGATTGTACCTGGAGTGTTCACAAAAATTTAAATTGGTATGCTATTCTGACAGACACAAACCACTCAAACACTGTAAGTTACTTCTAACTGTTGCTCAAAGGAAATGGAGAAACCAAAGGCCACACTTAAATTATTGTAAGAGATGTTAAGAGCGGTATGGATGGAAGACACATTCTTACTTCCTAGAATTCTTTGTTCTGATAAGCCGTTGTGTTATATCACCCTTTTCTTAAATAATTGTGTCCAGATTCTCCATATCTGCTCAACGAGACATGTTCTCCATACAGAGTACTTGCAAAAGGAAAATTAGGCTACTTACCTTGTATTTGTAGAACATGCCCAAAGAATCACATCTGCTATTAATCAAAAGGTACTTTGGTCCTCTAGAGAAATGCAAATGTCTAGTCTTAAATTGCCTCTTTACTGTAGGTAGCAATTCTGTACCCACTTACATAGGACAAAGTCCCATTGCACACAGGGGAGCTTACCTCTGAGTAGACATGTATAGGATTGTACATGTTTGTGACAAACTTGCCCTATCACAGTGTTTTTAATGATTTATCCTGACCACAATAATCCATTATTTCATACTTCTGAGAACACAAGCATCCTTCTATTAACCAGATAGAATCTCTTAATGAGCTTAATATAACTTTATCAGAAGCAACTCAAAACATTAAAATATATAAATTAGAGATATCACTGAAGTCTTGCAGTTCAACTCCAAACCTGAGTTCTGTCTCTGGTCATTTCCAGACTGTTGTGTTTTTTTTTAAGGAGGGATTCAAGTGCATTCTAGAAATGTAGGTTTATGCAATTAAAGTGGATTGAAATGTTCTGTTGCCATAGTATGAGCAACCCAATTTTTTTCTAGTTGGGAAAGTGATGGGGAAAGTGCACTGAAAAGTGTAGAATAAATGAATGGTTAATAGGAAGAGGCATAAGCACTGCCCAAGCAAATCAGTGCACTTGCTCATGTTGTATTATCACTCTGCAAAAAGTCGGAACAAATGCATAATAAATACCAGACATAGTCTGACCTCTGTATAAGCTTTGTGCAAGCAGATCAGGATGAATGCTCAAGAAAGAGGCTATACGATGCTTGTAACAGTTCTTTTGTATTATATATTGCAAAATGAAATAAAATCATTTTTTAAAGGAAAAGGAAACAGGCCATCTGGAGAAGCCCTCACTCACATTTTACAACGATAAGAAGCTGGGAAGGGCAGCTGTTTATCTTACAAGCTCAACAGCTTCAAATGTAGGAAGTATTGTACCCAGTAGGTAGCTATGGTATTATATAAACTTAATTACTAAATTTTTATGAACAAATTATATAGGCACATAAAATTGACAAGTGGCTAATTTCGGAAGCCCATCTTGAAGAAAACAGTTGCGTAACGTTTTATCAACAAGCAGCCTAACTGCACCAGCCTAGTGTTTAAAGATCTTTTCAGTACACATGGGAATGTCAATTAACGCTTTTAAAATTTGGATTGGATGTACAAGGGTAAATCACCTGCAGGCAATTTTACATGACTAACAGCTGCAGAGAGCACCATAGTTCTTCATGGCACGGAAAGCCTCATATCTTCATAAGGCTTAACAGTCCTCTGGAGTATTAATTAAGGCATTGTCCCAAAGCAGGCAAACAGTGCAGAACATCTTTTGGAAAAAGAATTCATCGCTTTTGCAAAATTGGCTAGATGGTCACAACTCATCTACCAAAATGTAAAAGACTGAAAGAGTCTGTGCCTTGGAAAGTCAAACTTTGCTCAGGAAACATCAAAGATGTACACTGCACTTGTTCTCTGACACATTTTAACTAAAAGTACTCTGAAGGTTGAAAAGGATGACACATGGTTTCTAAAATGATGTCTGGCAAAAGTGTTCTGGGAAGTAACTTGGCTGTGTCACTCACATCTAACAGCAATTCCCATTAATCTACAGGCACTGGGTCACATATCTATTTGTTATATAATCCCCTATAATTTCCCACAGAACACAATTCTTGAACCGAGGTGGTAAAGAATGGTCCCAATTGTAAACAATATTGTCAAGTTGCCACTTTCAGGATGAAACAGGTAATATATAGTTGTTAATCTAGAGTATTATTGTGAAAACGTGTTTTCTGAAACCAGGATAATCCTGACTTGTTCTGACTCATTCAGTTTTCGCAAATATTAGCTACATGGCATCTCAAGACTGCTTGAGTGAGCAAATATCCTGGGAATTATTGTGTATAGAGTATTCATAGATTTATTTCACGCTGCATTCCCCACCTCACCCCCACCCCTAGGTATGAGGAGACAGCATGCTTCAAAGTTACAACGATGAGGGAAATCCACCTTTGTATCTTGACTGTCTCACAATGTACTTTTAGGTTGTATACCACATTGCAATATTTTATATGAAAGTGTACTGGTAAATTTAAAATGTAAAAATGCTTAAATAAAACCAATAAATAAAAAATAAAAGACCCTGGATGAAGAACATAGACATTGTGTAAAGTAGTCATTGATAGCCTTGATCTTCATGAATTTGTCTAATCCTTCCCTAGCAGGTTTTGAATAAACATACACAAACTTATTGAGCGATAACATAGAAGATAGATAAGGATGTATAGAGTTTTATAATATGCAGAAGTTAACTGGAAGAGAAATCAGAGAGAGGAGCTGAGGGAAATCATAGGAGGGAGGGAGGGATTGTTGGGGAGGTGGGAGGGGGGAAATGGGGGGGGACAAGGAAGATGATTTGTTTGGATAATTTGTTATGTTGAAATTGTTAATAATTTCCCCCCCAAAAATAAATAAATTGTCTAATCCTGTTTTAAAGCCACCCAGGTTGTTGGCCATCACTACATCTTGTTTGACTGACTTCCTGGATGTTCCTGGACGCAGAGCAACTGCCGTAGAAAACAGAAATTCCACACTGGAAACTGCAATTCCCTTCCCCTCCCCACAATGCCTCAGCAGGGTGTAACGTCTTGACAGCTCTGGGTAAGTAAAATGGAAACTGTCAGGAACAGCCATATGAGTTCAGCCGGCGCCAGGGAGAGGCTAGCCACCCACCTAAACTACAGAAATGGGTGTCAGTGGGAGTCTCCATCACATCCATTCATTCTCTGGGCATTTGTTTTGTAATGAAGGAAAATGGACCCCGTTCAGTTTAATTTTTCAACTTCAGTAGATTTTGTATGGGGACTGATTTGTAAATCCGGGGGCTGTCCCCAGGAAATGGGGATGTCTGGTAACCTTACTCTGAAATGATTGCACACTCCTTCGTGCATTGGTTAGCAACTTACACATATGAATGGGAATGACTGAATCAACACACTGCATTGTTCCGGTGTCTATTCACAGGAAACACATGAGCAGGTAGGCCACTCTGCAAACATTTCAAGCGTTGCTTGGAGACTGGACATGTGCGTGTGGAGCCTGTTACTGTGACTGCACTCTCTATCTCCCTTTACACAGTGAAAATCTAGATAGGGGTTCTCTTCTGCCCCACAGCATATGACATCTGACAACCAATGGCTGAAGTTCTAGAAATAGCAGCCTAAAAGTAATGTTGTCTTCATGCAGTACATACTCGAAGAAAACACAGAAAACTTCAAATGAATAAAGAGAAAGAAGAATTGGTGTGCAGGTGTGTGGTAATATTTCCAGAATCATTAACAGCAGGAGAGTATGAGAAAGAGATCTCTTTCCAAAAATGGCATGTAATTGTACCGCAGCTCAGGCTGTCTGACCTAGTTCAAAATGATCTTTATCGCTATTGGTTTCCTGTATCCTCTCTAAAAAGCAATTAAATATTACATATCTTTCTGGTTGTCCCTACTGAACTGAAGCAGAAATGGGGGGTGGGGGGACCTCAGTGATTGTTATTACAGAAGAAAGTGTTATATATTTTTCAGATTGTGTACTGAAAACCATATTAGTGATTTGGTGACTACTGCAGCATGCCCACAGATTGCTTACTAGAAGAAGGCCCTGGCCAGAGAAAGAGCGGGATTGGCAGGCTCTGTGGTTTGCTCTAGACCCCAATATGTACACGTTGGTGCAATGGGACTTGTGCAGTGTTGCAGGCTGCTTGGCATTACAACAGGAACCAGTTTTGCTGACAGGGCAGAAGTCCAATACTCCTCTCAGTAGAATGAGCAGGAGACCCTCCAAATGCAGTAGGAGGGCTAGGAATGCAGGAGGGCTAGTGTAGTATTGCACATAAGGTGTACCCCAGTCAAAGAATGAAGCTACACATCTGCAAATAAAACATTTTAAATGTGTTGTAATGTGCAATATACAAATGTCACACTAGATGGCGACAATGAGCTATGCCAAATTCAATGTATTTTTCAAAGCATTTTTAAAAAGCATTTTCATGGCGTTTTTTATATGTATGTAGATTCTACCTAACACTACCCTACTGCTGTAGTGAAAAGGAACCAAGGGTTACAGAGACAGGGAAATCTCTGCACGAACTGCTTATATTGTGTAACCAGGGCAACAGGATAAGCATGGGAGAGTATCACCTACTCTTTGCTGTTTTTCTGTATGTTAGTGACTTTATGTCAACTGCAGATTTCATCTACACATACTTATTTCCTTGCCAGTGCTTCTTTCTCATTGTTTACTCCTAGGTAAGTGGATATCAGATTGTGGGCATCAAAGGACCTTACCAAGACAGCTTTTCTGTTGATGCTCAAGTTGCACTGCAGATTCAAGTCTCCATGATCAACCCTCAGGAATGCACAAACATCTGTTATATAAGAACATGGAAATAAAATATTTGTACCCTACTGAATCTATTCACTTCTATTTGATATACCTCGTATGCCACTGAAAAGCTGGTTTGTTTTATGGGTAGCACATAATTATATGGTAGGCGTACAATAACATGATCTTACAATAACGTGCAGCTATATGTGAGAATCTGATTTTATGAAATAAGTGAAATTACATCCATCACCTTTATCCAATTATACTATGGAAAAATCTGATTCTAATTTTCCTCCTGAGTTTGATCGTACTGAATTTGATCATCTAGCAAGCAATAGCTTTAGTCTCATAGCTGATGTAATGATTATAGAAAATTGTCCAGTGAATGCCACTACTTCTACTCCTTGATTATCAGATTTTAAAATTGGACCATTTACTGCAGTCTCTGACTCATTAAAATATTGTCTTCAATATCCATCTCTTTATGTTCACAATAGGACCATCCCGCAGTAGGGTCAATATGACAAGAAAATGGGCTTTTATTCAGACAGTGGTGACATTCACAGCTACAATATTAATATACTTTTTATAAAGGATTTTGACATTGCTGGTAGCTATGCATTAATACTTTTCAGGACTGTGCGCTAATGGACTGATGTGAAGTTCATGTTACATTAAGCCAACCTACATGACCGAAATGCTGTCGACAAAATTGTAAGCATCACTTTGTGCTGTATTTTTTTATACGGGCCTGAGCAAAGTCAATGGAATGAAATAATCCAGAATTTTGATGCCATCTAAATGTGGGTGCTAGTGGTTCAAACATAACTTCTGAGCCCTTTCATACAACCATGGAAAAGGATCTTAACAATTGACCCAGTGGCATAGGAAGGGGGTGTGGTGGGTGCGGTTTGCCCCGGGTATCATCACTGAGGTGGGTAACAAAATGGCAAAATATTTTTTTAAAAATTCGGCTCACGACACTTTTTAAAATAAAAAATATTATTTAAAACGAGTTTAATAACTTCATCTGACAATTAATTAACCTCAACAAGTTAACATAATAAATATTGGAACTTTTTATTTCAGTCAACAAACACAACGGAATGCGGCTGAACTCCACGCTGTGTAGTGGAGAGTGTATGGACAAGGAAGAGGGGAGTGTGTTTGTTTGTGCCGATTCACTGAAGTCTGTCTCTGCAGTTTGTACTTGAGCGAGACATAAACAACCAGTGACTCATCATCACTCAACCCGCAACCAATCCTATCCGCTGCCATACCGGTCAGTCATCCCATGTCATTCTGTGGGGTTAGTTGTGCATTATTACTGAAGCTTATAAGTGCTGTGCTGAATTAATTTTTGTTACATTTTTTAGTTCATTGATTCATTGTGATCATCCTCTTTTCTATGATAATTGAGTTTGGTAAGTAACGTAAATGTTATGATGCATAATATTTGTATTTGTATGTTAAGCCAAAGTTGCGTGTCGAGGTCCCCGATCCACCCCCAAAATAACTCACAACGGAGACGTAATTTTTGTTTAAGATTTTTGGCATGATTTTGGCCACAACTTTATTAAAATACAAATGCGAGTGGTTGTTTAGGCATTGGTTAAGACTATCTGTCCCCCCACCTGGGGACAGAACTGACTTCCGGGCACCACCGAAAGACAGTGCGGGGGAAAGCAAGTCGGGGAGAAATGGAGCTGGGACACAGACCCTCAATTCTCACCCGCCTGCTCCCCGAAGGCTTGCCGGCCCTAGTCCCATTCCAGGGATTGGACGAAAAGATGGCAAGCCCCAGGATTCCTTTAACGGAATTCCCTTTCCGCAGCAACCATGGAGGGGCAGGCCCAGCCTATCCTAACCCCTCCTCCACCAGATTTATAACCAATGCCTAACCACAACCTTACAAGTTGTGACGATTTGCTACGCAGTAGGCAAAACCACCCAGCCAGCCAATTTGCCAGGTGGAAAAATTCCTACCAGGCCCCCGCTCAAAGGCAGACGACCCCATGACAGGCATAGCAAGGTCAATGCAACAACCCCTTACTCTAGGGGGGGTGGGCGGGTGATCCGTTGCACGCAGCAAAAGAGAAAGTACAAGGCTGCGTGCAGAGTATTTAAACCCTTTACCCCTCCCACCAAAATTGCAACACAACTTTTGCCCCAGCAACTCAGCAATCCAATCACTGCCCCCTGGCCATCTTGGAGAACTTACCCAGCAACAAAGGGGGTGGCTCAGTAGACCCCACCGCAACACGTGCTCTCCCTGAAGGAGAACACGCTTTGCGAAATACAGTGGTACCTCGGGTTAAGTACTTAATTCATTCCAAAGGTCCGTTCTTAACTGGAAACTGTTCTTAACGTGAAGCACCACTTTAGCTAATGGGGCCTTCCGCTGTCGCCGCGCCGCCAGAGCACGATTTCTGTTCTCATCCTGAAGCAAAGTTCTTAACCCGAGGTACTATTTCTGGGTTAGCGGAGTCTGTAACCTGAAGCGTCTGTAACCCGAGGTACCACTGTAGCAAAATTAAGTAAAAAAACTCATTCATAAGAAATTCCCATCGCCAAAAAAAAAAAAAAAGGTTTTAAGTGCTTATGCTCACAATGTTAAGTAAATAAACCAGGAAATAACACTTGCAACTGTAAGTATCTCATTTTTCCTTCTTTTAATAATTTCCATGTGAGGGGGAGGGATGCCAATA